ACTAAGAAGAGTCAAAAGCTCATTTCTTGGAAGAATCAAGAAGACCCTTCACCAGGTTTGTTCTCTCTCGAGCTAGACGAGTCCACTGCTTACAAAATCCTATGGAACGGTTCGACTCAGTATTGGTCTAGTGGTCCTTGGAACCCTCAAAGTCAGGTCTTTGATTCGGTCCCTGAGATGAAAATCAATTACATTTACAACTTCAGTTTCTTCTCTAATGCCACTGAGTCATACTTCACTTACTCTATCTATAACCACTTGAATGTGTCACGGTTCATAATGGACTTGTCTGGACAAATCAAGCAGCTTACTTGGTTAGAGAACAACAACGAATGGAATTTGTTCTGGTCTCAGCCTCGACAACAATGTGAGGTTTATGCTTATTGTGGCTCTTTTGGGATTTGTAGTGACAAGTCTCAACCTTTTTGTCAATGTCCTCGCGGGTTTAGGCCTTCGTCGCAGAAAGATTGGGACTTGCAGGATTACTCTGTAGGTTGCGTTAGAAAGAGCGAGTTACAATGCGGTCGTGGCGACATTAACCGGTTTCTGCCACTTTACAACATAAAATTACCTGACAAACCAGAGGTAGTGGTGATAACGAGTCTTAGTAATTGCGCATCTGCTTGCCAAGGGAATTGTTCTTGCAATGCTTACGCACATGATGAAGGTTCAAATCGGTGTTCGACTTGGAGTAAAGATGTGTTGAATCTTAAGCAACTCGATGCTGATAACAGCGAGGGGAATACGCTTTATGTGAGACTTGCTGCTTCCGACATGCCTAGTGGTTCTTCCGGTAAGAGTAACAAGATGATGATATTTGGCGCGGTTCTAGGCTCGTTAGGAGTAATAGCGCTCGTTCTGTTGGCGGCAATCGTACTCTTAAGGTACCGGAGGAGGAAGAGAATGAGTGGAGAGAAGAGTGATGGTACATTGTCTGCGTTTAGCTATAGAGAATTACAGAACGCGACTAAGAATTTCTCGGATAAGTTAGGAGGAGGAGGTTTCGGTTCTGTGTTCAAAGGGGCTTTACTGGATTCTAGTGACATTGCGGTGAAGAGGCTTGAGGGTATTAGCCAAGGGGAGAAGCAGTTTAGGACAGAAGTAGTCACGATAGGAACGATCCAACACGTTAATCTAGTGAGGCTTCGCGGGTTTTGCTCTGAAGGAAACAAGAAACTGCTGGTATATGATTACATGCCTAATGGTTCTTTGGATTCTCATCTCTTCATCAATCGAAATGAAGAAAAGATTGGCCTTGGGTGGAAATTGCGGTACCAGATCGCGTTAGGGACGGCTAGAGGGTTGGCTTATCTACACGATGAATGCAGAGACTGTATCATTCACTGCGATATCAAACCCGAAAACATCTTGTTAGATTCACAATTCTGTCCCAAAGTTGCTGATTTCGGTTTAGCCAAGCTTGTGGGTCGAGATTTTAGCCGGGTTTTGACTACAATGAGAGGCACAAGAGGCTATCTTGCACCAGAATGGATCTCGGGAGTGGCGATAACAGCGAAAGCCGATGTTTATAGCTACGGGATGATGCTGTTCGAGCTTGTTTCTGGTAGAAGAAACACGGAACAATCAGAGAATGGTAAAGTCAGATTCTTTCCGAGTTGGGCGGCGACCGTACTCACCAAAGATGGAGACATCCGCTCGCTGCTAGACCCAAGACTAGAGGGCGAGGGCGTGGATATCGAGGAGCTCACAAGAGCTTGTAAAGTGGCATGTTGGTGCATACAAGACGAGGAGAGTCATAGGCCAGCGATGAGTCAAGTTGTTCAGATTCTTGAAGGGGTCTTGGAAGTGAATCCGCCGCCATTTCCAAGATCGATTCAAGCTTTAGTAGATACCGATGAAGCTGTTGTCTTCTTCACTGAGTCATCATCTTCTTCGAGTCAGAATTTTTCGCAGAAACAGAGCCA